AGCTCTCTCTGCCCTTTGCCTACCCATGTCAGAACAAAGATGATGAAATTAACAATGATAGCAATGACAACAATGAAAATGTATACATTTAGAGAACTTCACTATAATATTGCATTCTTTCATCTAGTCACAAGGTGGGAAAATAGTACAGAACAGTTAGTTCTGGTCCTTCCAAGGATGACAGATTTTTATGTTGGCTATAGGAAAGTATATGCTCTTATCAAGCATCCTCGTTTTACAGGTAAAATATATGAGGACCTGGGAAGATAAATGGCTTACTTAAGATGACACAATTAGTTGATAACAGACATAGGAACAAAATCCAATTTTTACTACATGTCCCCCCATAGTGAAAAAGGAGATGAAAAGCAATTAGCAACTGTGGCTATTAATCTGGCCAACAACAGCTGTCATCTTTTAAGTGTATCTCTCAATGGTTAAACCAAAGATCTCTAAGAGTAGTATATTTCAAAGGATTTGTTTGGCTAACTGCTAACACCTCCCCATACTCACACCTCCAGAACATACACTCATGCACCTCTTTCTCTCTCCTATAAGGATTATCTCCAACCCTTCTTAGGAATAAAATCTTAGAGTCACCTGGAACTCAGAAATGGGTAAGTTGTAAAAGGACAATAAACTTGAACTAGACTGAGAAAAACTGAAGTTTTTATTGTGCCTACTTCTGTAATTTGTAAATTTTGGCTACAGAGTCACCAGAAAAGCCAGTTAATATCACCGACTAGAGAACAGTTATACCATAGCTTAAACTTTTGAAAAGACAGACACTCTTATTAAGCACTATTTATTCTTGCTTGGTTTTCACCTTTGATGCAGTTCAAATAGCAGTCATGGGCCAAACTGTAGACTCGGATCTTGGTGTCCTTTCATTCAGCATAATATAATGGACAGAATAATCTAAAGGAAGTTCAGTAGCCTGGCAGTCTGGAGGAGACCTGTACTCCACAGTTAAAATAGTTGTGACCTTGGGAATATCATCTAATCACTTGGGCTCAAGTTCTTTGTAGATAGCTGAGTGAATTTCTAAACCTCTCATGCCCTTTCTTGTCCTAAAATTTCTTAAAATAGCATTAGCTTTATAGAGCTGAATTTTGATCCAGTCTGTTAAATATTACCTGTGGGCATCCCGCCACATGATACCTCATTTACTATCTGCAGATCATTGTGAGATCTATGGAAAGGACCCTGTAATGGAGAAGGAAGATCTCAAGATAAATCTGAATTTCACTCTTTACTGCCTCTGAGACTTATGATAATACACACAACCTTTCTAAATCTGCTTTTTAAGCTAAGAAATGAAAAAAATACAATATTTTTATGGGTTAGGTAATATGTTATAGTAGGAATCAAATATAAAATTACATATAAATTGTAACTCCCTACAAAACACAAGGAATGATTATCTTTCAAATAGAAACAATGCTCCAAACTTTTTAAATAAATCTTTAAAATATTGCTTACTCTCTTAGTCTGCTTGGGCTGCTATAACAAAATACCGTGGACTGGGTGTCTTAAACCACAGACAGTTATTTTTCATCATTCTAGAGGCTGAGAAGTCCAAGATAAAGGCGCTGGCAGGTTTGATTCTTGCTGAGGGCTTTCTTCATGGCTTGCAGATGGCTCCTTTCTTTTTCAGTCCTCACATGGTGGAGAGAAAGGACCTCGATGTCTCTTCCTCTTCTTATAGGGGCACTAATTCCATCATGGGAGTTCCACCTCATGACCTCACTGAAACCTAATCACCTGTCAAAGGCCCCACCCCCTAATACCATCACATTAGGGCTTAGGGCTTCAACATACGAACATTCAGGTCATGACACTCACATTAAGGCTGGGGGAAAGATGTTCCTACCAATGAGACGTGTTTTGTTATCCTCAAAGGAAGAACTCTCAAAAGGAATTCAGATTATTAATGGCTTGAGTGACTATATTTTTTTCCATTAAATTGTAGCCAAGTAGACACATGACTCTTAAACTCAAACTTTCAACAGTTAAAGCATCTTTCTTTACCAATTCCATGTATGTTAAATGTGAGAATGTGAGACCTCAAAGGCACTGTAGAGAGCAGATAGAACATCTCATCACTTTATAAGTGGGGGTGTGAAGACTACAAAAGCTGAATTTTTTTTAGCAAATTGCTGACTATGGCTGGATCCAGCCCCAAACTGACGTCCCTTCCTCTACATCATGCCTTTAGTACCAGTCATTTCCGTATCCTTAGGTACAGTGTATTGTTAAGGGTTTTCTTCCACCATGCCTTATGCAGAGGGTATGGAAGCTTTCCCAACATTGTGGCCATTCCATAGAGGCAGCTGGAAGTCATGACAAGGAACACCTTTTCCACCCCCTTCAGTCAGATGTGAGGAAGCCCAAACGTTGAGTTGCTAGCCAACGTTCACCTAGCTGGGAGGCAGGCTCATGCAGGGGACAGGGTACAGGCTTCGAGTACCGCAGATCTAGGATGGAATGCTTTTCTAACACATTTTAGCTGTGTGACCTTGGGACAAAAAGTTCTAGCTTCCTAGGTCTTTAGTTCCATGTGTGTAAAATGATAATAATGCAAAGATTGAAATAAGTTAGATAAAGGCTCTAGACCATAATAAGCATTCCCCAACCCCCAACTCCATTTTCAGTAGCAAGTCAAGGACCAGCACCACAGTTCTTAAGTCCCTGCCCAGGGCGCTCTCCATTACACTTCATGCTACTCAGATAGCATCGTTTTGAACTGAGAATATTAAGTGCATTTTAAAAAGCCTTGTCTTCCAAAATCAATCTCTTCACATTTTCAATAATGCAAGCAAGGAGCTTGAAGTTGGCCCACAGAGACTTTTATGAACCAAAGGGTTATTTTTAATTGGACTGTGTGCATGTTGTTATGGAAAAAGTTGTTTCATAGATTAAACATTTTCCCTTTACTGCAAGATCAAGCCCAGGATAGGTATAATGATGATATCACCCTTACACTTCTTTTTCCTTAACAAAACACATTTAAAATTAAGAGAATGGTAGTGAAGCTGCTTCAAAAGTGCACATTTCTAAGAAGGAAAAAAAAGAAAAAGATCTCCCCTATAAAAATAGTTTTAAAATGATATATTCTCTTTGCAAAGATCAAAACCGATAATGACCCTTGCTGCCAGTAGGAAGCTAAGATTCTGCAGTTATTAAATGCTTCTTTCTTCACTATTGAAACTAGAAAGAGTCCCTTTGATCCTGGAGCTTGCTTTCAACATTTGGTCTCAAAGCATTTTTGCAGTTGCTGGACCAATAGGCTTCCTCTAGTTATTTAGTGATCCATCTCTTAAAAGTATTCTTTCTAGACTAGTTTTTATTAATGTATCTGGATGAATTTAGCTTCTCTAAAGAAACAAAAAGTGATGATTTCTAATATCACTGATTGTCCTGTGTAAAGACAGGAGGCAGTCCATCCAGCAAAGTTTAGCTTATTATGTCCTTGGTTCATTTTAAGTTCATTTCTCTTCCAGAGAAAGACCAGCTCAGAAAGACAGAACTTGTATCATCAGTAACATCCTGAGAGGAATGAGGGGCCTGGGTGGATAGTCCGCCATACGGAAAGCAAACTATTCCTGTTGGACTGACTACTGAGGTTTCTTCTATTATACTTGGTTCCCTTGTGTATTTTTTTTCCTCTTTCTTCATTGCTGTCTCCTTCTCCTTGGCCTTTTCAAATGTCCTCCTATGCCCCTTGTCATTGATTGGTTTTGCTGGTAGAATTTTTTAGTTGAAGACATTATGACGCAAACCTCGATCGTGAATCAGTTGAAAGTCATGAAACTCAATGATATCATGGCTTTCGTTGTTTTAATGTACCAGTAAATTTCAGTACTGAAATCCATCACCAAATAATGTGTCTTTTCAAGCTTTTCATTATTTTTCTCAGCGAATCATAATGTCAGATTAGTAGAAATGCTTACTTTTCTATAAAAATGTTCCAGTTATATTAAAAGCTATTTTCCCTTGCTTTATTTTTAAGTGAAAGAGGGATTAGCTTTGCCTAACTTTGTCATTTCAATAATTTCCACAAAACAACTTTCTGAGATAATCTGTTCTAAGCCAATTTAAATTCCATTGAAATCTACAGAATGTAACTGCCATAGCTTTACTAGCAGTTACTATCTTAGTTAGTCACACTTCTTACCCTCCTTCTTTTGGTGGTTACCTGGGAATCCCTATCATCTACTGCTACTTAATATTTTTTTTCCTTCCCAGTCAATATTTGACCCTTTATTGGCCAAGATTTCTTTTTTCTTTACCTCCTAAGAGTCAGTACTTCACACTCATGGTCTGTGTATTCCACCAGATGTAGTTTTCAGACACCACATTTCATAGATTTAAGAACTTGCTGGACACTGGAGGTGTAAGCGTAAGAGCAGCCATCACACAGTATGTATGTATGCCCAGAGCAGCCTCCTCGCCAGAGTCTAACCCAGCCAGTTGCCACACCGAAAATGGTTAGCTAATGACCTATGGTCAGATCTCAGCCCCTAGGTCCCAGGTTACATAACTGTTAGCTACTACATTAGCAAGAAGGTTATAACTGCAAAAATCAGAGAAGTCCTCAGGGGAAAAGAGTCTGTGAACTTGTGGGAGGCTTCCCGATGCTGCATTGACTGTGCCTATTTATGACAACGGGCTCATTCGCTTGTCTCACATAAACGCGTGATGTTAAAGGTTCTTTTTAAAGTGTCACACCAGCAAGTTGGTTAACTTGTCATTTTCCTTGCTTGCCATGACTCTAATGGGCTTGAAAATTGATCCAACCAGTCAGTGTCCTCTCTCTCTCTCTCTCTCTCTCTCTCTCTCTCTCTCTTTCTCATTTCTTTCTCTCTTCTCTCTCCTCCTCCTCCTCCTCCTCCTCCCTCCCTTTCCCCGTTTCTTTGTCTCTTTCTCTTACTCTCTGTGAGGTTCATTTGCTTCACTGATTCTGAGTGTCCATAATGACTGTTTGGCATATTCTACAGGCAAAGGTCCCGAGACCCTTTTTGCTGGCTATAACCTCAACGATAACGAATGGCACACAGTGCGTGTGGTTCGGCGAGGAAAAAGCTTAAAGTTAACGGTGGATGACCAACAGGCCATGACAGGTAAACCCCATTCTCCCCATTGCATTTTCTTTCACCGAAGCTTGAGACTTTCCCTTTTCTTGCAGGTGACTTTAAAAACAGGTGCACAACTTGAAGCCAATACACAACAGTTCATTTTTTTATTACAGATTTTCTAGAAACGATTCCATTTAATAAGCAGCATGCACAGTGCTTTCTGTTTTTGTTTTTCCTCTCTCAAATTATCAACACTTTTATATCATGTTCTTTTCTGTTTAATAATGTATGGCTTTCCAAAATTCTTTTCTTTCTCCATGTGGGTGCAACTTGATTTTATTTCAGAATCACTTGGAGAGCTTCAAAAGGGGCAATTCCTAGCCTGATATCTATCACCGAAAGTCTGGGAGGAGTGCAATGATTCTTTTTTTTTTTTTCTTAAAATCTTTCTAGAGGAGTTTCATGCAGCTGGTCCATGGATTGACATTGAGAAACATTGTTATGATATGTCATCTTATTCTCCGAAGAAGAAAATCAACCAGAGAGCGCTTAGCATAAGCCTTTATTCACAATGGCCAAGCGTGAGAACTCTGAAGGAGCAGTATGAACTTGGGGAAGAAAGGCAGATTTTTGCAAAGCTTTGTCAGTAGCATGCGCTGAAGTTCAGCTAGTCTTGGTCAAGGGCAGTTCTAAGAAGAGAAACGAGTAATTTTTATAGATTAGTATCCATTGTTTGGACAATTTGGGTTTTCTCAAAAAAATATAGAAATGAGCAGTGAAGGTCTAAGGTCACGTGCAAAAGATTGAGAAAAAATAGCTGCCAGAGACAAGGACATACGAAAGCACAGCAGAACATTCTTCAGTTCCTAAGTGTGTCGCCAACCTCATAGATAAGGAAACTGAGGTTCAAGAGGTCAAGTGACTTACGTTTCTTTGAAATGTCATTATTACCAGAGCTGAGAAAAGAACCTAGGTTTGTTTTTTGTGTGTTGGATTGTTTGCTTTTTGACTCATGGCCCATTCTTACCCACAAGACAGTTTTGCAAGGTTGTTCTTTGAATTGCAAGAACTCTGCCGCTTCTGTTCTCAATGGGGCAGCCTACAGGCTGTGTTGCAGTCTCCTCATGCTTACCTCACCGATTCTCTCTGAAGCCCTGAGCCTCACGCACTACAGGATGCTGGTACTCGGTACTCCAAATCCCACCAACCCCATCTCGCTCCTGCTCAGTGGTAATCTCATTGTCTCTCGTAGCCCTCATGAGCATACTCTCCTCTTCCTTTCCTTTTCTGGAACACTTGCATATCTGGAACACTTTCATATCAGGCCTTTACGAGAGATTAGAAAAGGCATTGTTTTCCAGCAGCTTCCAGCATCTGCCAAGAAAAAGCTTCTGAGCAAAATGCTACAAGGAACTTGGCTAGCTTCTTAGAATTGTAGGAAGGGTAAAATATGAACTAGCATTTCAGTAAATTAGCCTGCCATTTACTCTTTCTCAAAATTGCCGTGGCTTTAGAGCAGGAATTAGATTCTGCTCTCTGTTCTGTAGGAGTTGAATTTTTTTTTTCAATTGTGGAAACCAACACACTCTTTCTCAGAGTTTAAAGATGAATGGGAATACAAGCCAAGTCCACATTGATGAGTCATCTAAAGTATGCACTCTCCCCCAATATTCCTCCTTCCCCACCCCCTCCCCCAATTCCCAGCATCTTGCTATAGTTATACATACTGTTAAGTCAAGTAACTGCTGAACACAGGACAGAACATACGCAGGCTGTTCTTGGAAATGTCTGCCCCTCAGCAGGGGTGATGAGGACAGCAGTTACCAGCAAAGAAACCCCAAGAGGGAGAGAGATTTCCTAGGACCTGGATAAGAAAGCATTCTACAAAATATTTGGGCTCCCTAAGTGTGTGTGGGGGGTCCTTGGGTTTGAACTCATCAGTGAGTCTGTCAAAAACCTGGAATCATGTGCTTTGAGTGTGTGTTTATCCTTAGTGTGTCTGTCCTTCAATGAACAGCAGTCACCAGAGATGCAGTTACTCAGGCCCAGAAGGAGGGCATGGCCATTCTGTCCTCCCTTTCCATCATTCTGCACATCATCAGTAAATCCTGCAGATTATATCTGCGCAATTATCTCATGTCCATTTTTCTCATTTCTGCTGCAACCACCCTAGTTCAGACCATCTCCAATCCATTCTACCCACATCAGAGATTAAACACAGATACATGCACACATTCTCTCCCCACCCCCGACACACANACACACACACACACACACACACACACACACACACACACACACACACACACACACACACACACACACACACACACCCTGACTCATGGCTTATGCCTGCCTGAAACCCTCCGCTAGCTCCTATTATAATCAGGTGGCGCTGTGATATCTGAGGATCTCCTTCCCATCTCATGACAGCCACTAACCTCACTTACTCATGGCTCTCTAGCCACACTCTCCGGTTCTTTTTCCCCTGAGAGCCTTTGTTTGTCTGTCTCCCCTTCTTGGACTCCACCTCCACATTTCTCTTCTCCCATTCTTAATATGGCTTTCTCTTTTTAATCCTTCAAATTTAAGTTAAGTGTCAGCTCAGGCATTGGCCCCCGCTTCCTATTGACCAACATAACACTCTGTTCACCAAATACATAGCATTTTCCTGAATTTTGCCATCGTGCATTTAATGATTTCCTTCTGTTTTTGTCTGCCTTCTCCCAAGAGGCTATGAGTTTTGTGAAAACAGGAGCCAAGTCTGCTTCTCTCACCACTATTTCTTGATGACCTAACGCATAACCCGGCACATACACATTACCACACACTCAGTAACGTTAAGTGAATTAACAAGCTGATGTAAGGCTGGCAGGTTATTTTGTTTTGCAGAGGAAATTTAACCCAACTATGATCAAGGCTTAACCTAAAATAGCTGACCTTGCTCTCTGTTTTGATTAAAACATATCTGATGTAGATATTAAGATTTCTATGCAAACACACCACCCAGGTGGTTGTTTTTATTGGGGATTATAGCCAATCTGCTAGACCCCAGACACTTTGAGCAGAGGCATTTTGCTAACTTCAAATACCCTTTCCCGCTAAATATCTGGAAAAGACGATGGATTTTTAAAAGGTTGGAGCCTTAAAAAAAATATTTCTCCTTTAATGTCCTTTATTAATTTCTTAATTAATATATGCATACAAGAGTAGAGCTAGCTATTTTACTGATAGAGGATTAAACACTGGAATAAATTCTGAAGAAAACAAGAGTTTTTAAAAGGCCTCAGTGTTTTTTTTTAGTCAGTGGATAATGGCTTTTAGGTGCTAATTCTCCACCTCAAGCAAGCGCATCTGTCATTACTGTCAATGCAATTTATATGTGCTTATTAAAAAAAGAATGGTCCCTTGAACATGGGTCATAATGAGTTTCCTTGTAACTGGGCCATGGTTTCTCCACCACTGTTTTACTACCTTTTTATTATTTATGCTCTGCATCCATATTCTATTCCTTTGAGAAAACAGACATCACATGCTATTTTTATCACCGAATTTCTCAATCCTCCTAAACAAAATGTGTTTCATTATTTCAGAGCTGCCAAGAACTTGAAAATTTAGGGTGATATTTAATTTCAAGTATTAGAAATATTTTTTTCGGGATATTTTTGGGTTTTTTTTTACTACTGGTACATTCATTAATGGAATTTTTAAGAAGAAACATGAGAATTTCAGGATTGGGGTGGGTTCACTGAGTTAAGATTCAGATTTTAATATCATAGAAAAGATAAAAATCCATACAAAGAATATAGAAAAGCCCAAGTGATTTTTAAACTTTTCATATTTTTTCATTCTATATGGCTTGTTAATTCAGTGTTACTGGCATCTCTAGAGATTTATATTTGAAAATTACTAAAGGCTCTTTTTATTTGCTACCGAAGAGGGAGTTCCCCACAGAGTAGGATGGAGGTCATTGAACAAGAAGAACTGAAGAAGGAGAAAGAAATGATGTCATACAAGAAACCAGAATTGCTAAGGATTTAATTGTATTTTTGCATCAGATAGACAAACAGCAGACATAGTGGGAAGGAGGAAGGAAGAGAGACACTTATATAGATTGGCATTTTTCTTGTTGTTAAAAAACAAAACAAAACAAAAAAGTGTTTGCAGAGGGAATTGGAACGAACCAATGGCTAAAAAGAGAACATGGCCTGAGTGACAGTACAGCTGTTACCAGGATCAAGGGCTACTTAAACAGGTATGAAAATTAAGTCGAGTTAAATAATTAAGGGAGAGTTTTTTTTTACACCAAGGAGCTTATAAGCATCAAAGTCAATTAAGTATGTAGACAGGTTTTCTTGCACAACAAAAAGTATGTTTTGTGTATTTTACTTACAGACATTTCTTTAAAATGCCATCTAATATTTTACTGCCTTGACTAAAGAAATGGAAATCTGCCAAACTAGTTGAAAGAGGCCCACATAGGTGGCTGTTTAATCTTCAGTACACCTGGGAAGGTCCGTGCATTTGCTCAGGGGCTGATCACTGGGAATGACACTAATTAATATTTTCATTAATACCATGGATATGATGAGACAGGGTAAGCTGGATCAATTTTCCAATTATGCCAAAGTGAATAGTGCGGCTAGCACCTGGAAGAACTTGATTACAATTTAAATGACCTTTTTGGAGTTTCAGGAGAAAGTGAATGACAGTTTAATTAGACAGGGACCAGATGCTGGGAGTGAATCACTAGCAATGATAAAGTACTTTAAGTTGTGTTTTAAAAAATGAGTTCACATCTTTTTTTATTTAGTTTATCTTCCACCTTGCAGGTAGGTATACATATCACGCTGGAGGTAAAATGGGACTAGACTGTTTTAATGGGGTTGACAGAGAAATGTGGAGGGATGAAGAGGGATGGGGGCTGAGCCGAAGAGGGACTCGCTAAGTAAATCTGCAAGTAAGTTTCACACTAGGGTGTTGAAAGAAGATTCTAACTTGTGGTGATATGGGCTAATTTTACTGGTATTTTCAAAATTGGGCATGCCTTGAATCGGTACATTGTACTCAATTTAGTGATCCAAAACATAAGTGCAAGGAAAATGGCGTAGGTCCACAGGTGATCAACAGAAATTCTAAAGCGGATGAGTTCTAGGAAAGACTATGGGAACTAGTCCCCACAGAGAAGGGAAGGTGTGAAGTACCTACTTAACTTCAAACACATTTTCATGGTTCATTATTGGAGTAATAGTCAGCAGCTCTTCATTACTTCTATTGGGGATAGGAAAATATAGTTTTTTTGTTTGTATTTTGTGTTTCTTTCTTTCTTTTTTTTTTTTGAAGAACATTCTTTATAAAGAAAAACATCACTTAACCATGAAGCTGGGAAATGTCACATTCCACTGGGATAATTTAAGACAATGATTGCCCCTAATCCCTCCCTCTTTACTTCCCTCCCTCTCTCCCTCCCTCCTTTCCTCCCTCCTTCTCTTCCTACCTGCCTTTTCCTTTGCCTTTTTTGTTCTCTCTCCCTCCCTCTTATCCTTCCCTTTTCCCTTTTTATCTCCATAACATGCTTCCTTTTTTTTTTTTCTTCTACTTTTTAAAAACTCTGTAACTTTGGCTAATGAGGATGACTTTTCTTAAGACTAAACTTTGGACAGAGATTGAAACCTGACCTAAAAAAAAATGTATTATATAATCTGGCCTCATAACATCAATTCTGGGTTTTTACTATCTGGAACCGAGTATCCAGGAGGTAATTGGCATCTTATATCTTAAAATGTGATGTTGTTATGAAAGCCTAAAGTTGGAAGTGCCTTTCAGCTACAGAAGCTAATAATACATTCTCCTCCTTTTTAGGGCAAATGGCGGGTGATCACACGAGGCTGGAGTTTCATAACATAGAGACTGGCATCATCACAGAGCGACGGTATCTGTCTTCTGTCCCCTCCAACTTCATCGGACACCTTCAGAGCCTGACATTTAATGGAATGGCATACATCGACTTGTGTAAAAATGGCGACATAGATTACTGTGAGCTCAATGCCAGATTTGGCTTCAGGAACATCATAGCAGACCCCGTCACCTTCAAGACCAAATCGAGCTATGTTGCCTTAGCTACATTGCAAGCCTACACATCTATGCATCTTTTTTTCCAGTTTAAGACCACATCCCTAGATGGACTAATTCTGTATAACAGCGGGGATGGAAATGACTTTATTGTGGTTGAATTAGTTAAAGGGTGAGTATATGTCAGTACAATGACAAATAAAACTTTGAAAAAATTGACCTCCATTTCCAAAAATATACATTAAACAAAATGTGTTAGTTTGAAAAATAGTGGGCAGGAGTAAGTATGGGTGGAGTAAGGGTACAAATAACATATTTGTTTAAATTACTTAAGTATCTTATCAAGTTAATAGGGGTTCAGTAAGGTCTTTTACACCTGCATTTCCATATATGAAATATAAACAATTTCAAGTTCTAATTTATGCTAGGCTTAGGCACTCCATGAATCTTAACACTTCAGATGTGGGCTGGTTTACTCTACACACTATAATTCTACAAAAGAATTTCTACAGACTTGTAGGGTAATTTGTGCTAAGTTAAAGAGCTAATTTAAGTAATCATATTATTCATTCTACAAAATCCCATTGAACTGAAACTTATTTTTTTTCAGAGTTCCTTGAAGAATTTAGAAAGATTTCTGTGAAATGTCCTTGAAGCTATGATAAAAATTTGATGCATTTTAATTGACTTGGGTATTCATTCATTCAGTGACTATTACTGCATATTTACAGTGGACTAGATCATGCGCCAGGCACAAATATGCACACAGAGGGTGCCAAAAAAATGTAGACACATTTTAAGAAAGGAAAACTATTAAAATTGTAATACTCAATATATATCAATAACAAAAGGTGAATACAAGTCATGTTTGACTTCTGCGATTGCAAGAGGTGCTCAGAGTGGTTACCATCAGCGTCCAGACACTTCTGATTATGGCGAACTACTGCTTGAGCAACGTGACCAAAGTTCCACTTGTATAAATTTTTTTTGCACCCCCAGTACAGACCTGTATTTTTTTCCTTGCTACCCTGTGAGTATCTCATATACCACCAACCCCAGGCTGCACATAAGCAAACACACAACCCTCGGGGAGATCGGTGAACACATAACCAGAACAGAAGCACTATGAAAAGTTTCCTAAGATGATCATGTGCAAAGGCTCAGGAGAGTCTTTAGAGACATTAGGAAATGTTTGAGGCAGGGAGTAGATATTTGATCTGAGTCTTGAAGGATGAGTGCACATTTCCTATACAGAAACAAACATTCAAGATGGAGGAGAAAGCATGTTCAAGAAGCTGAGAAGACTCGCCAGTTCAGCGTGGTTAGCAAAGGACGAAGGGAGTGGTGGGAACAGGGAATGAGCAGTGAAAGATATTTACCTTCCAGAATCATAAAGTTACCATGATTTAAAATAATAATAATAATAATAATAATAATGTTCACTATATCCTATAGTGAAGATAATGACTAATTCTCTTTGCTGACACAGTTTCTTACCTTGTTAGCTGAGCTTCTAGAAAACTCGCTCTCATGACTCCTAGCAAGGATGGGGGCCACCTGAAAAAAAATATTATCCATTGTAATATCTAGTTTAACTCCATCAAAAATTCAAAAAGTAATGGCATTTTCCCACATTTCCTTTTTCCCCAGGTACTTACATTACGTGTTTGATTTGGGAAATGGTGCTAACCTCATCAAAGGGAGCTCAAATAAACCTCTCAATGACAATCAGTGGCACAATGTGATGATATCAAGGGACACCAGCAATCTCCACACTGTAAAGATAGACACGAAAATCACAACACAAATCACCGCGGGAGCCAGGAACTTGGACCTCAAGAGTAAGTGCACAGAGTCGGAATAGCAGGCATGAACTCACATGGTCTCTACTCCCCTGGTGAACCTTTGGTTTTGGAGAGAGAGAGAGAGAGAGAGAGAGAGAGAGAGAGAGAGAGAGAGAGAGAG